CATCTCCAGGTTTATTTCTTCGGAGATCAGCCATCCAGAAAGCTGATTTAACGAAATATTGGTATTGTTCATGCGAATGTTTTGCTTAAAGGATGAGTATTCGGTGGGAAGACCACGAATAACAGCATTCACCACATCACGTTCAGGGATCTCTTCTTTCAAGGCATCGAGATCCGAGAGAATAGTTGCCACATCATCAAGGTATTGTGTCATAGTTTTGGTACCTTTACGAAGAGTGTGGAGTTTGTCCCGAAGCTGATAAACATGAGCGGTGGACACGGAGTTGTACCGTGCGGCCAAAGCATCCCAGAGGGCAGCAGATGTGGTGAAGCCGCGAGCATGTTTGTGAACGGAGGGGCTGATGACCGCTAGGAGGTCCGACGGGGCTGCCATGGTGGGCGGCGGTCGGAAAAAAAAGAGAGGCTAGGTTTTTGAGAGCCTTAGCTCTGATACCATGATACAATTTGATAATAACTTGTCTTATTGAATATTAAGAGATATGGCCCTATATATAGGGAATACAAGAGTAATCAAAGTACAAGTAGGAAAGGAAAGAATAATCCTAGTAGGAAAGGAAAGAAGCATCCTAATTTAATTATACTTCCTAATAATTTTCATGTGCTCACGGTTTATTGTTGTGTTCAGTTAATTAAAGTTCATCATAAAAAGAAAACATAAGAAGATGATTTTGGAAGGTCTAGAAAAGTCTTTTTTATCTGTAATTACTTAAAGTTCATCACGGTTTAAATAACTATTGATTTCAATCTATTTCTCGATGAAAAAGGGAAAAAAACCTAAATAGGACTAAAACATATCAAATATACTTAAATAGGAGTCCAAAACATAAATCCCCTAAATAGGACTTAGTTTGCATGGCCATCCCCAAAATACCCTACCCTCCCTCTCATCTCTGCCGAAAAAATTAACTAACAAACATAAAATAAATATATTACAATTAAAGTTAAGTGTTGCATTATTGTTGACATAAGGTGGCCATTTATAATATGAAATTTTAGTTTTCTCATTTACACGTACAACAATTTATAAGAGTCCCTAAAGTTGGTCATGTATATACCAATTTGTGTCACTGTACACAGCGTTGAATGACAAATGTTATTTAGATGAAACGAAATTATGAAATAAAAGTGTCAACAAGGAAGGACATTTTAAAAAGTACATTACATCTTAGTACAAGCAATTTTAACACAATTAAATCATACTAAAAAAAGTCATGTAATGCAACATAAAGTGATATCATGCCCAAATAGTGTTTGGATCTTCCACTCATGGAATAGGATTTCTATGTGTTTGGGTGGACTATACCAGCACATGTACATATATACTAACGCCTCAATTTTGTAGAAAGGAGAGATAAAATCATAACAAGATAAGCCGGGACGTCTCCCAATAGCAGCCACCGCATGAATGCAAATAAATTGATCAAGTTGGAATTCACAACATGTGCATGTTTTGTCCTTTAAACTCATATGGACATGTTGGATTTAAATGCATAACAAAAAAATAAAAATATTCAATGGTTAATATGCAATTAAAAAAATTCATGATAGTCCAGCAAAGTATGTAATGTGGATATTACCAGTGTCATAATCTGTAATGTGGTGATGAATATTACAAACCATTGTAATGTAAAGTGTCACAGTATGTAATGTGGTAATGTGTATTACAAAGAGTTGTAATGTAGACGGGGCAGGATTGTGAAGTGTGACGCGGAAAGGAAAAGGAGGGCAAAATCGGAAGAGAAAGAAAGAATATGGCGGGAGAGGTCCTAGTTGGGGGATAAAAAACATGAACTCCTATTTTAGGGATAAACACAATGTTTTAGTTCTATTAGAGGTGATTTTATGATGAAAAACTGCAATTACTTACGCACTCCATCCCTAAGAAATGTTCGTATTTCATTTTTACGCATTCCATAAAATATTCCTACTTCACATCAATTTTCTAAAATACCTTCAAAACATACCCTTTCTACCCACAGTTAGGAGAAATTGAGAAAATTTTAGACATTATATTTAGGTATTAGCGTTTTATGAAATATGCGAAAAATGAAACGAAAACATTTTATTGAGATGAAGAAAGTATTTATTTATATACTCCCTCCGTCCCAAAAAGATTTACACTTTTGAAAAAAATTATGTCCCACAATCTCCTACTCATTTCTATTAAAAAACCACTTTTACCCCTTACTTTTTCAAACCCTACCTATTACATCATACCTTTTTTCTAATAATCTACACATCACATCCTACTTTTATCCATCACATCAAGGGTATTTTTGGAAAGTCAAGACAAAATTATCCCTATCTTAATTTCAACTTTAATCAAAATGTGTAAATCTTTTTAAGACGGGGTAGTATTATATTCGATGTGCTTGATCACAAAGAAACCTTTGGCACCATGTCCGTGAACTTGTTTGTCCCTTGCGTACCCTCGCATATATAATTATTGAAAGTTGTAAAGTTTCTTTGGAAGTGGGATATTGAGACCCACATTTCGACTTATTGAAGCCCAAAACCAAAATGACATGGCAACACATCATTCTTGCCAAAAATAGATCCAAATATCACACAAGTTGGATAAAAAAGTGTTCTTGATGGACTTATATTTTAATTTTAGTGCCACAAGATGATCACTTATATTTTAATTTTAAGTAGTGAGCTTTTTATCTCTAGCAATGGCAAAGCAAAAAGGGTAACCAAGGAAAAATAATGATGGACAACAATAAGTGTGGGTAGTAGATGTGGTTAGGAAAGTTGGATTAGTGGATTGATTTGATGTGAGAAATTAACCTTGCACACTTAATTAGTTACTTCATTTACTTTGTATTTTCTACTACCTCCTAAAAAACTCCTTCACCTTTTTTTAAACTTGTCCCACAAAATTCTTTCTATTTTTACTAATAATCTACACATTACATCCTACTTTTACCCATCACATCAAAGGTATTTTTGAAAAGTCAACACAAAAATATTTCTCCTTAAATTTCTTAAATATCAAAATAATCACACTTTTTGGCAGGAGGAAATACTATTTATTTTGTAAGTCAATATGGAAAATCGTTCATAGTTGTAGCCAACCGCATGAAAGCTTAGCTAGATTACCTTCTACTACATCGATGGTCTAAGGCTGGAAGCATTCAGTCTATTTAAACAATATAATTCCATCACCTCAAAACTATTTAAACTACTCAAATCATAGTTTTAAGCATCAGATCTGTGACCGAACCAGTCCACGTACTGGTTGACTGGTTAAACCCGTGGTTTAAACATATTATATATATATATATATATATATATATATATATATGTATGTATGTATGTATGTATGTATGTATATACATACATACATATATAACATCGAGAATATTAATTAAAGTAGAATAAAATTGTAGAAGTAATAATATAAGGAAAGCAATTAATAATATTTTTGTTTCCTTTTAATATCTAGAATATTGAAGAAATAATTTATTAATTATTTCTTCATAGTTTATTCTATGATAATGAAATATTAGTGAATGATTTAATATGTACATAAGTATTAGTTATTATTTCATGGATTATCTAGAATGTTGGAGAAATAATTATAATTTCCTTGTTTATTTCACAAAGCAACCGAATGGTTTGGTTTCCTTTGTTGTATTCGAAAAGTTCTATCTTGTAAACCTTGTTTTTATATAATGCTTTGTAGGATATTTAAGATAAATTCAAGAAAGCATTTAGAAAATTTTGGAAAATAACTTCTCGCTTTTTCATTATGCACAAGGTCAAGTGTATATACAACTAAACAAGCCGTAGGCCCAAACATAAACTATATGCCTAAATACAATAAATTACATTAAATAACAAATGCTCGAATATACCTCATCAAGTTGGGGCATGAATATCATAAATGCACAACTTGAAATATAGAAAACAAAAGAGGGGATTGGGCACTTCCTTGGTAAACATATCGAAAATCTATGAAATATTTGTACTAAATAGCACTAAAACTTAAGTCATTTTTCTAAATAGCACTTAAATTGTTTTATTCTCTAAATAGCAATTAATAATGTCCATAATGTCCTGTGATGGCGAATATTTACTTGAATAATGACTAATGCATAATGACTAAAAGTGCTATATTGGGAAGAAAAATACATGTGGTGCTATTTAGGGAAAGTCATTATGTTTTAGTGCTATTTAAGTAAATTCCTCAAAATCTAAAGCTTGGTGGGAACAAACGTGGTGTCAACATGTCGTCTTTTAACACATTCATGAACAATGTGACAATCAATATCAATATATATGCTTTGACCGCTCATGAAAAATAGGACTCGCGACAACAAAGAGAGAAAATTATTATCACAATATAACCTTGGAGTATCAACGCAAAGAACTCATAGAGCACTCAGATTGCCACGAATCCAGCATATCTCATTACACCCATTCATCATAGTGCGATAATCTACCTTAGCCGATGAATGAGAAATAGTGGTCTGCTTTTCTACTACGCCACGAGACTAGCAAGCCACCCAAGAGAACGAAATAACTTGTGACATACTGATGGGTTAAATTAAAGTACAACTTACCCAATCATAATATGAATAAGCCGTGAGAGCCAAATCACCATCACTACGTAATAAAATCCCCTAACTGGCGTGACCCTTCAAATAACAAACCACATGCATTGTCGCGTGGTGATGATCAAGAAACAGAGACAGGTAATACTAAGATACAATACACGACCACTCGGCCTACGATACTTTGTAGGATCACGTAGCTCACCACTGCTAGAAGTAGTAAGGGAATGCTTGAGCTGAATGGGAGTTGCGACCAGTTTACACCTAGACAAGCCAACTTCCTGAATAATGTCAAGTACATATATACTGCCTTTAATTTAGAACTGTTAAAATGCATGAGTCCAACCCTTTCTGTGTTGTAAAGTGTTGACTCACAGGTTTTGATAATTGACAAACATAATTTATTCAAGTCAAGATCAAAGTGCTACAACGACAAACATGAAGAGTTGAAGTGCAAATTATTCCTTGAAGTACACAAGAAGGAGAACATAATTTAATGAAGACCAAGACGCCTAACAGAGCGCTTTACGGAAGTGAAGAAGAAGATTTCCGAAGACTTTTAAATTTTTTTAATCCTCCATTAATTCCTTCCTCAAATATAAGTTATTTTTAGAGAAAACTATTTATTTTTCAAGAGAGTGTTCTTCTCATCCATAGAGCTTAATCATTTTCTCATGTCTACACTTGTGAGAGTTTTTTTGTGAGGTTGAA